GCCAGTTTGAGGTCACGTCTATGTCATGGAGAGAACAGTGCAGATTGGAATAACGTGGTGTTTGTCTTCCTGTGGCTGGTTTCACAGACTAAGACATTAATCTCCAGCTCTGTCCACATTCCTGACAATGGTAGAGTTTTGTCCCTTTTAAATGATGGGACACTATTTTATTGTGCCCATGATCTGGATATCACATTTTCTTCATCCCTCCACAGACGGTAGTTAGGTGTGTTCTGTTTCTCTGCCGCAGTGAACATCTGAGTGCAGATAGATGGTTCTTGGAAATACGCTTGCATTTCTGTCTAGTTGGGCCACTGCTGGCCCCGTGGTTCTGTTTGGAACTCCGGGCAGCCTCCACTCAGCTCCGTTTCTTGGCTGTACTGATTTCTATCCACATTGGCATTGTGTGAGACATTTCCCCTCACCATCTCCTTGATTTCTGTGAGTTTTTTCTTTTTGATAATAGCCATCCCAACTGGGCTGAGAGGACACCTTATTATGAACAGAATTTGCATTTTCTGGGCACTTACATTTTTTCCATATTTTTCTTGACTACTTGTGTGCTCTCTTTTGAGAAAAAGCTATTCAGATAACTTTTCCTCTTTAAAAAAAATCAGATTTTCTTGCTGCACATTGAGTTCCTGATAGATTCTGAATATTACCTCCTCATCAGATTAATGGTGTGCAAACATCTTCTCCCGTTCAGCGGTCTGTCCCTTGATTGTTTCCCTTTGAGGCAAGGATGCCTTTTGGTCTGATGTTATTCCGTTTGTATAGATTCACTTTGTTGCCTTTGCTTTTGGGGTGTGAGTCAACAACAGAAACAAACACAACAACAACAAAACCCAGCTGTCTACTCAACTTGTTAAATCCTCCACCATTCTCTTCTAGTAGCTTATTGTGTCTGAGCTAACATTTAGGTTGTTGGCCCATTTTCAGTAAGGGATGGAGGTCATTTCCGACCTTGTGTGTCATGGCTCCCTGGACCACTCTGCCAATGGTTTTCTTTGTTCCACCACATGTTTTTGTTTCCTTTATTGAGAATCATTTGGCTGCAGATGCGTGAGATTGTTCCCGAACACTGCATGCTATTGCCTGCATATCTGTGAGATGTTCCCGAGCACTGCATGCTATTGCCTGCATATCTGTTTCTTTGGAGATACCGTGATGCTTATTTACCCTTTGGTGATAACATGTCCTGGCTCTTGGGGTTCACCATGTTTGGAGACTTAGATTAGTTGTACCTAGTTGCTCCTATCTTTCCCCAGATTTGGGACATCTCATCCATTTGTTTGTTCATTAATTAATTAATTAATTCATTTAAAAAAGACTTATTTAATTTTATTTTATAGCAAAGGTTGTTTTTGCCTGCATGTCTGCGCACCACATGTGTGCCTGGTGCCTGTTGGAGGTCAGAAGGCTCCAGAACTTGTGGGACTAGAGTTAAATATGGTGAGCTACTTTATTGAGTTAACTTTACAACAAAGCAAAAAAATAAAAATAAAAAAAAACTCCCCCTTAAGAAATTAAAAAAAGCAAAACAAAACAGAAAACTTTGATCTTTTAAGAGTTCAAAAGTTTTAAACTTTTTAAGGTTTCAACTTGCCCCTATGGCAGACTTAAAATGTCCTTTTGGCCAATTCAGATCTAGGAGAATAAAATACAGCTAAAATCCTTTAAATGCCATCTACTTACTTAATTATTTTATATTTACATATAGTAATTATACAAATTAAGATGTCTTCAAACACATACAACCTGCTAATAATGTCCTTTAACTATCTATTTTTAATTATTTTATTACTTAAAAAAAATACCAATCCAAATTCCCACTCCTTCCCCTCCTCCCACTCTCTCCACATACCTTCCCACTCCTCCCCCCTCCAATTCTAAGAGAGGGCAAGGCACCCTGCCCTGTGGCAAGTCCAAGCCCCTCTCTACTATATCTAGGTTGAGCAAGGTTTACATCCAAAGAGAATAGGATCCCAAAAAGCCAGAACATGCAGTAGAGACAAACCCCAGTGTCACTGTCAGTGGCCCCTCAGTCTGCCCCAACTGTCAACTACATTCAGAGGAACTAGCTTGATCTCATGCTCATTCACTCCCAGTCCAGATGGAGTTGGTGAGCTCCCATTAGCTCAGGCAAACTGTCTCAGTGGGTGAATCCCTCATGGTCTTGACTTCCTTGCTCATACTCTCACTCCTTCCACTCTTCTACTGGACCGTGGGAGCTCAGTCCAGTGCTCCGATGTGGGTCTCTGCCTCTGTTTCCATCTGTTGTTAGACGAAGGTTCTATGGTGATATTTAAAATAATCATCAGTCTGACAACAGGGCAAGGCCAGTGCGGGTACCCTCTCCTGTATTGCTTAGGGGCTTAGCTGGGGTCATCCTTGTGGATTCCTAGGAATTTTTCTAGAGCCAGTTTCTTGCTAACCCCATAATGGCTCCCTCAATCAAAATATCTCTTTCCTTGCTCTCATATCTGTCCTTCCTCCATCTCAACTATCCCATTCCCTCAAGTTCTCCTCAACCCTCCTCTTCTCCCCTTCCTTCTACCCCTATCCCTGCCCCCATGCTCCCAATTTTGTCAGGCGATCTTGTCTGTTTCCAATTCCCAGGTGGGTCTCTCTCTCTCTCTCTCTCTCTCTCTCTCTCTCTCTCTATATATATATATATATATATATATATATATATATATATTTGGGGGTTCACCTTATTACTTAGTTTCTTTAGGATCATAAACTATAGGCTCGATGTTCTTTGTTTATGGCCACTTATGAGTGAGTACATACCATATTCATTTTTTTGGGTCTGGGTTACCTCACTCAGGATAGTGTTTTCTAATTCCATCTATTTGCATGCAAAATTCAAGATGTCATTGTTTTTTTACCACTGAGTAGTACTCTAATGTGTAGATATTCCACACTTTCTTCATCCATTCTTCAGTTGAGGGGCATCTAGGTTGTTTCCAGGTTCCGGCTATTACAAATAATGTTGCTATGAACATAGTTGAACAAATGCTTTTGTAATATGACTGAGCACCTTTTGAGTATATTCTCAGGAGTGGTATTGCTGGATCCTGAGGTAGGTTGATTCCCAATTTTCTGAGAAATCTAAAGAACTCAAGAAATTAGACATTAAAATTCTAAATAACCCAATTAAAAATGCTGTACTGAACTAAACAGACAATTCTCAACAGAAGAATTTCAAATGGCCAAATGATTCTTAAGGACATCTTCAACTTACTTAGCTATCAGGAAAATGCAAATTAAAACAACTCTGAGATACTATCTTACACCTGTCAGAATGGCTAAGATCAAAAACACCAATGATAGCTTATGCTGGAGAGGATGTGGAGTAAGGGGAACACTCATACATTGCTGGTGGGAATGCAAACTTGTGCAACCACATTGGAAATCAGTATGGTGGTTTCTCAGAAAATTGGGAACCAACCTTTAACTATCTTGAATCTACACTCACTCAACAAGCAGAGTTGGCAGCTTCATGTCCCAAGAAAACCCTAACAATGAGATCTTGGTTCTACAGCTGTGCCTGGGTCACACAATAGGGAGACGCATGGAAGCCACTCAGTGTCCTGCATGAACACATCATCTAGTCTGACAAGGAGAAACTGCGGTAAGAATCAAAGTGACTACCCATTTAACCTTAATTCGGGGAGCTGGTCTTGGCTTATGCAGCTGGAGCAGATGCAGCCACAAGCGTCCTGGGACACGTGAGATGGGTAGGGGCCAAGGATGAATGGAGTGTTGGGTGTGAGCCGAGCTCAACTTGTGATTGTTGGGTTTAGAGACAAAGAGAAGGAGCCATGACTGGTACACCACCATTACTGAGGTAAAAATGAAGGAAGGACAAGTGAAGCTCCCAGGAAGCACCCAGACCGTGGTTCTGACCCATTGTAGCCACACTAAACGTCCCGCCCACCGAACTGACAGGTAAGAGATCTGCGTTCCCCAGTGTGCAGCACACCAATGAGTGATTTCTAAGGTGGAGAAAGCGGTGACCTGGGGAAGCCCATGAGTCTCAGGATAGAGCAGGTCCAGGACACGGCATTTGAAAGAGGTGATGAAGCAAATGTGTTTAATTCTCTGCGTTCTCCTCATGTCCGAGTCGTTCCAAGTGATGTCTGACTGCCTGGGGAAAGGCTTTCTGTTTTGGGGATTCCCTTTACAGGGAGCGAGAACCTGCAAGTTTTCATGAGAGGGAGGGTATTTTTCCTAAGGGAGAAGGGAGTGGACTCAGATAAAGGGTGAAGAAGGATTGGTTGAGACGCTGAACAAAGGCAGTGGATGTGAGCCTGGTTTCCATACTCTGCAGGGAACACTGGGAACCAGGAGTTCACCTAAGCCAGGTAGGAGGATGTGCCACATTGAGAATCCAACCACAGTCAAACATGAGGTAGAACACAAACTTCCAATATTTTATTTCTTTTTATTTGTATGGGTGTTTTGCTTGCGTGGATGTCTGTGCACCACATCCATGCACATCCATGCAGTGCCCACACAGGCTAGAGGAGCGCAACAGATCCTCAGCAACTGGACTTACAGGTAGTTGTAAATGCCACATGAGTGTCGGGAACTGAACCCAGGTCTTCTGGAAGAGCAGCCAGTGCTCTGAACCACTGAGTTATTTCTCCAGTCCCAGAACACACACTTTAAAGAGCAGCCTTCTCAGGAAGAGATGGCTTAGCAGTTAAGAGCACAGGCTGCTCTTTCAGAGGACCAAGGTTCGACTGCCAGCACCCATATGACAGTTCATGACTGTCTGTAACTCCAGTTCCAGGGAATTCAACACCGTCTTTGGCCCACACCTGTACCAGGCACACACGTAGTGCACAGACATACATACAACCCAAACACTCACACACAAAATAATAACTTAAAAACACAGCCTTCTCTCTGCTAATTTTCTTTATTACTTATTGAGGAATGGACAAGAACCTATTAAAAACACAGAAGAGAGAAAGAGAGGACAGGAGAGAGAGAAGCGAGGATAAAACACGCTGTGAGGGATCCGAGCGAAAGGCTTCAGCTCTTGGGTGTGACGTCCTCAACTCTGGGTTGATTCCCCATGGGCAGGCAGCACGGTCGTCTATTTAAACACCTCCCAACGTAGACTTCCGTTTCAAGGCAATACAATTGGCAAACACCATTTGGGCGATCGCAGATTTCTTTGAACTTGCCCCTGACTGCATACAGAAGAGGGTTATTGTAACTGTTTATTCAACTTGATGAATGTTTACTTAGTCTACAGACTGGGCAGGAGTCACATCTGAAAATGACTTTGTATGTATGTTTATTGCTATTTGATTTCTTACACCAACACTTAAAAACCCGATGTCACAAAACATTTGGGAATTTCTCCTTGAGAAATCTGGCAACACTGGGTATTTCTAAGTAACAAAAGGACGAGACTGAGTAGTGCTCTCTGCTTTAAGAGTTCTAGGCATGTGCACAGTTCTTTATTCTTTCTCTTTCCCATCTTCTAACAACAATGGCAAGAAAGAGAAGCTTTTAATACCATTTCTTCACTGCTTTTTCTTCTAGGTTGTTGGATAACGCTCTAGACATTATATGCTGTCTATCCATTATTTATCTACTTATGTATCTATGTACCAATATATTTATGTATCTATGCATCTACCTCTATCTATCTATCTATCTATCTATCTATCTATCTATCTATCTACCTATCTACCTATGCATCCATGTATCAGTGTATCTACGTACATACATACGTATGTATGTATGTATGAATGTATCTGTCTGTCTGTCTGTCTATCTATCTATCTATCTCCCATATTTACATATTTGTCTTTCAGAATTAGAACTAAAATATTGACCTAAAAGAAAATATACCTCAAGGACATTACTAGAGAGATGATACTCTTCTGGGGAAGGCGGCCGTATGTCTGCCTCTCACGGACTCGTGCGCCCTCCCTGTTATCTGTGGCACCTTGGTGCAACATCATTCATTCCTTCCTCTCTGACGCTGGTTGTGGCTACAGCCCTCCTTTAGAAACCGTTGCATTGAGAGCGAATCATTCGGTTTCTTAAGAGGCAGACAGATTTACTTGTTGAAACATTGCCTGGTATTTGCTTTACGGCCTGCGATCGGACTGCCGCAGAGGTTGGTCACACGTACGTGTATGCTGTCAGAAGTGGCTTTATTCTGAGCAACAAAACCAATGTTTCCTTTGACAATTTCCTAAGCTTTTCATTGAGCTAAAGAAGCACCAAAGCATTTTTTCCCCTAAAGGCCAATGCTTTATTTTTCTTCATTCTATATCAGCAAACATTTTATTTATTTTTTTATTCCTCGAGAATTTTGTACATATATACAATGTGTTTTCATCAGCACACTCCTAGCTCCTCCCTTCATTTGGCCAACACCAATTCTTGAATCCTTTCTAATCAGTATGAGCTATTAAATTGAAGTGAGCTAACATCCAAATGCCTTAAGTTGATTTAACTCTTTGTGGTTTATAGAAAACAATACCTAGGGGCTGGAGAGATGGCTCAGTGGTTAAGAGCATTGCCTGTTCTTCCAAAGGTCCTGAGTTCAATTCCCAGCAACCACATGGTGGCTCACAACCATCTGTAATGGGGTTTGGTGCCCTCTTCTGGCCTGCAGACATACAGACAGAATATTGTATAAATGATAGATAGATAGATAGATAGATAGATAGATAAAAAAATAAATATTTAAAAAATACCTAATGAATGAGAAGATCAAGTATGTAGGCAACAACCCATTTTTATTTAGAATGTAAATTGGGAAATAATTTTAAGGGTATAGTTTGGTTTGGTTTGATTGTAAGCCAATGATCCTATTTAAGCCTATTGAGTGCTAGGCAGAAGCCAATTGAAATCTGAACTGATTGATTCTTGTATTTTTGTATCTCTTCATTAGCCAATTGCTGTACATACAGGTTCCCTTTCTATTAGGCTGTCCCGTGGTAGCAAGAAGACTCACGTTAGCTTAGAAGCCCAGGGAGGATGATCACCATGCTGAATCACCGAGTGTCTCTCCACCTCAGTAGCTCTTGCCTCGTACCATGGCCGTGTGCTCAGCTGAACTCACTGTGTGGTAATGAATTGCTGGAATCTCAGAGAACCCTAGAGCCAGGCTCAAGTCTTGGCTTACAGCGGGAACTCAGGACATGGCCCTGGACCAATGGTTTGAGTGGCAGTTGCTTCCATTCTGGGGCAAACAGGTGAGGAAATTTGCTGTCACCCTCAGTTCTCGTGCTTTTTGCTGCTAATTGTGCAACTGAGAAATTACAAAATTTCCTATGTGACATGTCATGCGGACTCATAAGAATTGAAGGAAAACTTGGTTTTACTTTTGTAAAATGACTTCTTTGCTGATAAACCTTGTCCATTTCATAGTGCGGACCCCCCTGTCATGTCTACGTACTTGGAATGCAGGCAGAATCTAGACTCAGAGCAAATCCACCGATTGTCCTGCCAAAGCACTGGTCGAGGAGGAAAGAGGACTGAGGGAATGGAGCAGATCATCTAGTGACCTAGTATTGGAGGTGATAAGGACAGACTTGCAACTTACGTTCCCAGCTTCTCCCTATCTGCTTTCTCTCTCTTCCTCTCTCCTAATCTTACCTCCCAAAGCTCAACTGGACTATACGTGTCTGCCTGAGGACTGTGGAGAGGACCCACCTTCCTACGGCTTCTTTAACATTGTCCCTAATTCTGTTTTGATGACAAGAAATGGCCTTCCTTTTGTTCATTTTATGACATCACATGTCCTCTGTTTTGTTTGAATGGCAATGAGAACATGAATAAGGGGGGAGTGAGGGCATACCTCAGCTACTAGAGTACTTGCCTAGCCCGTGTGAGGGTTTGATCCCCAGCGCCACTGGCACATGGTAGTGCACGCCTGGAATTCCACCACATGGGAGGTGGCTGCAGGAGGGTCAGAAACTCAGAGTCATCCCTGACAGCCTTGCCAACCAGTTCAAGGGTCACAAGAAACCCCGCCACATTCTTAAAAGCAAACCAGACCAAACCAAAATGAGAAACCCGCAAACAAACACAGAAAAATCAGAACAGGTATTCCAAATTTCAAGGTGTTTTTTTTTTTTTTAATCAAAAGTTTTTTGAGATAGAGTCTCTTGTAGCAATCAGAGTTGAGTAGTGAGTGTACGGCTTTCTGTGAACCAAAGGTCGTCATATGACTTTGGTCTCTGTGGACTTGCTGCCCGGCAGGGTGTCAGTGCCTGGTAAATATCTATAGTGCTAAACTGCTTTTTGATCTCCATTTTCTTCCCACTTCCGTCTTTCCCTTTTCCATTTTGTATTTCCTGAATCAGAGTTGGAATTGCGCTATAAGCCATCCGTCACTCCCCCAGCATGAAGCGCTGTGAACTAGCTAGCAGTCAGCAGTCTTTAATTGAACGTGTTTAGAGAAGAAATGTGATTTATCAAGACAATCATACCTCCCATGACATTTTCTGCTGGACATCTTCAGCAGTGTCTCTTTGCCCATATAATGCACACAGTCAAAGTGAGAGGAAAGACCACTTTCTGCCTCTACCCCACCCATCCCTGGAGGTCCAGCAGGCACCAGAGACAATGAGAATAAATTCCTTCTGCCGTAAAGCAATGTGTCACTTATCGTCTCTTGGCTCTACATTTTTAGGAATTCTGGGAGATTTCTTGATTTGTTTGCATTGCCAGGTTAGAGTCAAGAGCCTATACAAAATGCAAAACGCCACTTCTTATGGTTCATGCTGAAGGCCAGACATGCACTGGGCACTGGAGTAGGGATTTTGTAGCCTGGAATAGGGATTTTTGTAGCCAGCAGCAATCCTCGCTAGGTCACGACTCCCACCCGTCCACCTACCTGGGCCTACAGAGCTCTTAGGTCTATGGCCCAGATCAGTAACTTTTCTGAAGTTAACGGAGCTCTGAAGATAAAGGTTTACTAGAATTGTTCCAGTGTTTTAGTTACCCAGAAACTGCTAGTAACTTTGTCCAGTTAAACTCACACTTACAACAGAGTAAAGGAGTTACAAGCACTTGGAACCCCCTCGGCTTCATTTTCTCTAACCACAGTTGCGGAGGAAAATGGATGAGTCTCGCCACCAGCGGGTCTTCTGGATCTCTTTGGGCCTCAGGTGACAGAGACTAGCCTTGGAGCACTGTTTCCCCATAACCTCCTCTTACCCGAGCCCCTGCCGAGTTTATTTCATTACCTGATAGAACTTGAGTCGTGAGGAAGACAGTGGTAAAGCAGAGGACAGCGATCTTCATGGTGGAGGATGAAAGCCTGGCCTTGCTTCCGGGAAGCAGTGAAGACTTCTACCTGTGGCTTGATGACATCTGTGGGATGTCTTTGTCTGGACAAAGAGTGTCCCTCTGTCCTCATTAGGGATGTTCATGGATGGCAGAGTTCTGTGGAGAGCTCTCCATGGGAAGACAGAAGAGTCCTTGTTTTGTTGATCACTGGACACATCAAGGATGTGGTTGCATTCCCGGTTTTGATCAGAAAACCTTGCTAAATAGGAACATGGTCTCCAAACAGTTTGGCTACAGATGAAAGTGTGTGATCACGCAGCCACCTCTGTTAAGTTACAGCGAGTTAGGCTCTGGTAGGTGCCTGCTAGCGTATTTAGGTCCCTAAATATAGATATTTGACCAGTGACAACTATTTCCCAAAATTATTAGACTTGCTAATGATTAATCACCCACCGAATTCTTGGTTTGAGCTTCCCCAGTGCTTTGCTCGTCCTGGACAGCTTACCCTATTGCATGGTGGCTGGCTTCCAACCCAGTGCTGAGAATGTTTGCTTTGAGGGAGGCATTGAATGAAGGCATTGCATGACATGGTCATTTATTCTCAAGGCTTTTGTCATCAATGGAATGACAGGGGTGGTAAATGCTACTGTGGGGGAGGGAGAGTAGGGGACCTGGGTTTGAGTTCGAAGTCTCTAGACCAGCTAGTAGCTTGAGATGTGGGCCTAGGCAGGAAAAATGCCTTCTTTAAACACTAACAACACTCGGGAGGCAGAGGCAGGCGGATCTCTGTGAGTTCGAGACCAGCCTGGTCTACAGAGCTAGTTCCAGGACAGGCTCCAAAGCCACAGAGAAACCCTGTCTCGAAAAACCAAAAAAAAAAAAAAAAAAAAAAAAAAAAAAAAAAAAACACTAACAACCCTTCCTAGCTCCCGAGCGCTTGATTCTGCTTCAGCTGATTCCCAGTCACAGCTGTGTACAACGCTGATCAAGAGGGTTGCTGTAAAGACACTTAGTCCCATTCCAAGAGGTTTTATCATTTCTAAAATTGAGCATTAATTCCGGAGGCCATTGAGATGGCTCAGTACAGACACGCAGAAGGAGCCCTCTGTTCTGCGGAGGGGTGTAGCGCTGTGTATGAAGACAATTGGTTATTTTACATCCTTAGCAATTTGTAACCTGTAAAAATCTGCTTAAGCAGAAAAAAAGTACACATTGACTCTGAGGCCCGGAAAGCTACCCCCACACAGCGCCATATGCCAGAATGTGTGGGGTGTTTATAGCTCAGTGATGAAGTGTCCTGACCCATTATTATGTGGTCAAGCAGAGGGTGAAAAAAAAATATCCATGGGACTGCCTTTACCAACAGGATGTTCTCCAGTCTGAGTGGAATTAAACGGGAAAGAACTCGGGGGTAGGATATGAAGGAGTCGTAGCAAACATTTGAAAACCAAACAGCACATTGCTAAATAATATATGGATGAAATAAAGAAGAAATTCATACTGGGAATCAGTATTATGAATGAAACCAAAGCATACAACCTTGCAGAACATATTTGAATCAGTGTGAAGAGGGGTGTGTATAGCCCCAGATTCCTATGGAGACAGTGTGAAGAGGGGTGTGTATAGCCCCAGATTCCTATGGAGACAGTGTGAAGAGGGGTGTGTATAGCCCCAGATTCCTATGGAGTCAGTGTGAAGAGGGGTGTGTATAGCCCCAGATTCCTATGGAGACAGTGTGAAGAGGGGTGTGTATAGCCCCAGATTCCTATGGAGACAGTGTGAAGAGGGGTGTGTATAGCCCCAGATTCCTATGGAGTCAGTGTGAAGAGGGGTGTGTATAGCCCCAGATTCCTATGGAGACAGTGTGAAGAGGGGTGTGTATAGCCCCAGATTCCTATGGAGTCAGTGTGAAGAGGGGTGTGTATAGCCCCAGATTCCTATGGAGTCAGTGTGAAGAGGGGTGTGTATAGCCCCAGATTCCTATGGAGTCAGTGTGAAGAGGGGTGTGTATAGCCCCAGATTCCTATGGAGTCAGTGTGAAGAGGGGTGTGTATAGCCCCAGATTCCTATGGAGACAGTGTGAAGAGGGGTGTGTATAGTCCCAGATTCCTATGGAGACAGTGTGAAGAGGGGTGTGTATAGTCCCAGATTCCTATGGAGACAGTGTGAAGAGGGGTGTGTATAGCCCCAGATTCCTATGGAGACAGTGTGAAGAGGGGTGTGTATAGCCCCAGATTCCTATGGAGTCAGTGTGAAGAGGGGTGTGTATAGTCCCAGATTCCTATGGAGACAGTGTGAAGAGGGGTGTGTATAGTCCCAGATTCCTATGGAGACAGTGTGAAGAGGGGTGTGTATAGTTTCAAATACCTGTGTTAGATGACAAGGAAGCACAGGCGGCTAGTCTAAACTGTCCTCAAGAGTACAGAGGAAAACAGAAAACCATGTTCAGAGCAGGGGAAAAAAAAAGAAGGAAACGGAAGAGTTCAAGAATAAGAATATAGAAATGTAGATTCCAGAAATAAAAAATGTAGAAATAGAGAAATACAAAGCTGTGAGCCTAGGAGAGGGAGAGCAGACTGTCGGCAGCTTTCTCAGCAGCTTAAAGATTAACTATTAACAGTGGGTGACTCTGCTTTACAACCATAGCTCTGTCTGCAAGGCTGAAGCAGCCTTTGCAAGCTGAGGATCAGCTTTTAGATAACCCCCTGGCCACTCATGACCAGAAATTGATATGAGCTGAGTTAACTTTTAAATGATAGGATATACCTGACTTTTTGATTGTGCATTTTCCCATACCCTTCCCTGCTAAACTAGTTTAACAAAAAACAAAAAAACAAAAAAACTTGTTAATGGAATTTGTAAAAAAAAAAAAAAAAGGCAATTGTATCTGAGTTTTACCTCGAGATTGTAAAAATTCTTTTGTTCACATCTAATGCTTGCTTCTTGCTATAAAAAGGGGAGTTGGGAAACAGCCCATTGCCACAGCCTTACAAGTGCATCTCTGGCTGTGGGCTCAGCTAGCTGATAAGCTTTGTGCCCCATGGAGATTTATCTTTTTAATTTTTTTATTTTTTTCCTGGAATAAAGTTGCTTCAGGTGTAATAAACTTTGGTGGTCGGTCCCCCATCTTTGTGCGACCCTCATGGACCCAACAGAAACAATAAAGGGAAGAGTGAGAGTCTATGGACTATAAAGTGGAAAAACAGTGAAGCCAAAAGATGATTCTTTTAAAAGTCCAAACAGTGGGTAAAACTAAACACATTGACAACAAACAAACAAACAACAACAAATAAAGAGGAGACTCAAATTACTAAAATCAGGAATAAAATAGATCACAAGACTACAAACTTAGAGAACTGAGAATTCTGAGGGGTGCTAAAGACAACAGTGGTCCATACAGAAGCAATGGACACATTCCTACGACGCAAACGAATAGAAAATAGAGGTAGACCTACAAAAATGAGTAAATAACAATAGTAGCAGTATTTTTGAAGCACATTTGGAGTTGTAAAGACATTTTAATGTGTATTTTTAAACACAAGGATTAAGCAGAAGAACGTGTTCGGGAAGAGCGTCTGGAAGCGGTCCAAGCTTAGACCTACGCCATCTTTGGAGGCGTGTGCTCGTTCTGACAACATGGGAAAGAGCTTCTGTGTTCTCATGGGCAGGAAGCTCAGGTGTCTGCTCTTTGTTGAGCCCAGCCACAGCCCGCCTACGCTGATGACCTTTAGTCTCCATCAACCGCTTGAGGTTTGGACTAAGCTGTCTAGTTCTTCCGGATGTGAGCATCGAATACAGTGTTCCCAAATCTTATCCTAAGGCACACGGACTTATGTTGTGGCAAGGGCCCAGAAAAAGGAAGATGTCCATAGGGGGAACATTCCAGAATCCCTCTAGTAACCCAGGGCAAAGCCGCACCTCTCTTTGGGTAAAGTTTATTCTTCTTTCAGAAGTTTTGTGTTGTTGTCTTGTTTCTTAAGTACATTTAGCTGCACAAAACAACGGTGAGAAACAGACAAAAGTGCTCTGCTCACACTGGCTGCCCCTACTTTCCCCCCTCACCGCTGCAGCTCGCTCCAGCTTTCCTTCTTCTTTGTAGCAGGACTTTTCTATCTCCAAGTCTTATTTATTTACTTAAATTTAATTGCCCTTTAAATGACTTATTTAATATTATTACTATTATTATTGTGTGTGTGCATACACCTGCATGTGTGTGTGCATCTGCTTTTGTCCATGTGGGTGCCAAAGGATGTCAGATCATCTGAAGCTGGAGTTACAGGCAGTGATGAGCCATTTTATATAAGTTCTGGGAACTAAACTGGGCTCCTTTGCAAGAGTAGCAAGTGCTCTTAACTGCTGGGCCACCTCTCTAGCTTCTGACTTAGTTAACTTTAGAAGCCACGTGAAAGAGTACATGGGATTGTTACCTTCCTGATGATAAGACGGCTTATCTCATTCGACACGATCATCTAAATGACATGATTTCATTCTTCCTTATGACTGGTGACACAGTGTTGTCTCTATAAACTACGTTTTCTTCCTGGAAACAACCTAAATGCCCCTCGACCGAAGAATGGATAAGGAAAATGTGGTACATTTACACAATGGAGTACTACACAGCAGAAAAAAATAATGACAGCTTGAATTTTGAAGGAAAATGGATGGAGCTAGAAAACATTGTTTTGAGTGAGGTAACCCAAACCCAGAAAGACAATTATCACATGTACTCACTCACAGGTGGTTTTTAAATATAAAGCAAAGAAAACCAGCCTACAAACCACAATCCCAGAGAACAATGAGGACACTAAGAGAGACTTACGTTGATATAATCTACATGGGAAGTAGAAAGTAGAAAAAGACAAGATCACCTGAGTAAATTGGGAGCAAGGGGACCTTGGGGGAGGGTTGAAGGGGGAAAGGAGAGGCAGAGAGGGGAGCAGAGAAAAATGTAGAGCTCAATAAAAAATCAATAAAAAAGAAACAAAAAATCAGTAGATATTGTGTAAAAGTCTATACTACTAAAAGCAATCTATAGATTTAACTTAATAAAAAAACTATGTTTTCTTTATACATTCATCCTTTGATAGAGATTGTATTAGTTACTTTTCTGTCGCTGTAGTAACACCCCAAAAGCAGAAGCGGCTTATCTATAGAAGGAAAAGTTCCGGAGATATAAAAATAGACCACTGCAGGGAAGCAGAGTAGCAAGCTCCATAGCTGCACAGAAGCAAGAATCTAAGTGCGCACATCTTCAATCGCAAGCACTGGAAGCAGGGAGGATGAATGGAAGGGGCCCAAGGCTTTAAAACTCTTGGAGTTCGCTCCCTAGTGAAACGCTTATTCAAGTA